GCTAGAGATGGGCTTACTTATTCCACAGAAATGTATATATGGCGTTATTATTCTAACATAAAACTTTTAGATATAGCTGTTTTATTCAAAGCCTAGGTGGCTTACCAGCCCAAGTCCCCATGTTTGGACTTTCAGCTGACTAGTTCATCCAGGGAATCATTTGGTCATTCAGCACATTTACCAAGTACTTACTATGTAGGCATGTTAAACTCCAATAAAAGATACAGCATTGAATCAGACATGATGCTTACAGTCTGTTGAAATACCAGCATCTACACAATTTAGCCACAATCCAAGACAGATTATTAGTTTTATAAAGCACAAGCTAAATGTCTACTTCTTTGAAAAACAAATGGTTTAAACTTCTTGTTTTTTTTTTTTTTTAGACAGAGTTTTGCTCTTGTTACTCAGGCTGGAGTGCAATGGCGCGATCTCGGCTCACCGCAACCTCCGCCTCCTGGGTTCAGGCAATTCTCCTGCCTCAGCCTCCTGAGTAGCTGGGATTACAGGCATGCACCACCATCCCCAGCTGATTTTTTGTATTTTCAGTAGAGACGGGGTTTCACCGTGTTTACCAGGACGGTCTCGATCTCTTGACCTCGTGATCCACCCGCCTCGGCCTCCCAAAGTGCTGGGATTACAGGCGTGAGCCACCGCGCCCGGCTAAACTTCATTTTGATATCCAAAGCTTACTTGTACCAACCTACTTGTAAAGGCTTATCCACTATATAGAATCTCCGTTTTAGTCATACAGAAGTCATTATGCTCTGTATATATTAATTTCTCTCAATTCAAATCATATTTGCCATTCAAAGTCTAGCTCAAGGCAAGCTTCCCCCTGAAAGTTCTCGTGGACTTGATTTTTTCATTTAGTATTGCCCTTTTCCTCTTAGTTCCTCCCCATCCTAGCATACTGATAATGTGCTTCAGCTCTGGATTTGATCTTGGTATGAATTAGTCTCTGATTTAGCATATGCATCTTAGAACAGATATGGACATCTTTGACGCGTGCAGTGGCTCATGCCTGTAATCCCATCACTTTGGGCAGGTGGATCACTTGAGGTCAGCAGTTTGAGACCAACCTGGCCAACATGGTGAAACCCAGTCTCTACTAAAAATATAAAAATTAGCTGGGCGTGGTGGCAGGCACCTGTAATCCCAGCTATTCAGGAGGCTGAGGCAAGAGAATTGCTTAAACCTGGGAGGTGGAGGTTGCAGGGAGCCAAGGTCACACCACTGCACTCTAGCCTGCTGGGCGACAAAGCAACACTCCATCTCATAAAAAAAAAAAAAAAAAAAAAAAAAAAAGAGAGTTCGAGACCAGCCTGGTCAATATGGTGAAACCCCATCTCTAAAGTTCAAGTTTTAGGTTATCTGGTTCAGTCAATTTAAAATACATTGATTCAGTAGCAGACAGGTGCTTAAAAAAAAAAAGCATTGAGGCCAGGCACCGTGGCTCACGCCTATAATCCCAGCACTTTAGGAGGCCAAGGCGGGTAAATCATGAGGTCAAGAGATTGAGACCATCCTGGTCAACCTGGTGAAACCCCGTCTCTACTAAAAATACAAAAATTAGCTGGGCATGGTGGCGCACGCTTGTAGTCCCAGTTTCTCAGGAGGCTGAGGCAGAGAATTGCTTGAACCCGGGAGGCAGAGGTTGCAGTGAGCTGAGATCACACCACGGTACTCCAGCCTGAGCGACAGAGCAAGACTCCATCTCACACACACACACACAAAAATTAGCTGGGCTTGGTGATGTACACCTGTAATCCCAGGTATTTAGGAGGCTGAAGCACAAGAATCATTTGAACCTTGGAGGTAGAGGTTGCTGTGAGTTGAGATTATGCCACTGCACTCCAGCCTGGGTGACAGAGCAAGACTCTGTCTAACAACAACAACAATAATAGCAACAACAACTAATTTCTAAAGGCCATATGGCTGTCAAGTAGATTACACAATAAGAGGCTGATTTCAATTCTTAGGTTTCTTTTCTTTTTCTTTTTTTTTTTTTTTGAGACAGGGTCTCACTCTGTCACCCAGGCTGGAATACAGTGGTGTGATCTTGGCTCACTGCAACCTCCTCCTCCCAGGTTCAAGTGATTATCATGTCTCAGCCTCCAGAGTAGCTGGGATTACAGGTATGTGCCACCAGGCCTGGCTAATTTTTGTATTTTTAGTAGAGACAGGGTTTCACCAGGTTGGCCAGGCTGGGGTTTCTTTCCTTTATTTAATTTTTCTTCCCTTATTTATTTTTCCTTTTTTTTTTTTTTTGAGATAGGATCTCATTATGTTGTCCAGGCTGGTCTCAAACTCCTGAGCTCAAGCAATCTTCCCACCTTGGCCTCCCAAAGTGTTGGAATTACAGGGATGAGCCACCATGCCTGGCTGGTTTATTTTCTAAAGAAAAGTTACCCTGGAGGATCACTTGAGGCCAGGAGTTTATGACCAGTCTGGGCAACATAGTGAGACACCGTATCTGCTAAATTAAAAAAAAAAAAAAAAGTAAAGCAACCCTGTGCACTAAGTTGGCAAAAGATTAGAACTAGCAAGAATTAAAACTCATAGAACATTAGGATGAGAAAGAATCTTAGAGATAATCTAGTCTGCACCTGCCATTCTAGGAATGTAGAAGCAAACCCAGAGAGGTTGAGGGACATGCCCATCCTGGTGGGAAAGCCAAAACTAAAACCTTATTCCCCAGGTCAGTGCAGTCACTCAGGGTCTCACAAATCAGATTTGTGTTTTCTGTACCATACTGGCTTTCTAGTAGCCTCTCCCTGGATCTCACTGATAATCTTGAGAGTGCAAAAAAGCAATTGTTCGTTATGTTTTTTGAAGTGGTGGTATCCGTTGGCATCAAAATTTGCATTTGGATAAAGTTATCTTTGGCATCTTTGAGCTTGCTAAGAATATCAAGTGTGAAGTTTGCATTGTGCCTCAGTCTGCATCTTCCAACCATGACAGTTTTTTGTTTTGTTTTGTTTTTATTTTTGTTTTTTTGTTTTTGAGACGGAGTTTCACTCTTGTTGCCCAGGCTGGAGTGTAATAGTGCGACCTCAGCTCACCACAACCTCCACCTCCCGGGTTCAAGTGATTCTCCTGCCTCAGCCTCCCAAATAGCTGGGATTATAGACATGTGCCACCACACCCAGCTAATGTTTTGTATTTTTAGTAGAGGCAGGGTTTCTCCATGTTGGTCAGGCTGGTCTCGAACTCTGGACCTCAGGTGATCAGCCCGCCTTGGACTCCCAAATTGCTGGGATGAAGAAGGGAATTAAATAATAGCAATAATAGTAAAAACAAAACCTTATAATTTGTAGTTGCTATATAATAAATTTTGCTGTGTTGAATGCTGTTTAATATAAAACCTATCCCCAAGCTCTGCTTAAAATTAACTAACTCCTTGTAAAACCTACCTTATCTATTCTGCCCACATTCTCAGCAAAGTTCCCAGGCATCTCAAGACTCCTGTTTTTCTTGCTGACCAGCCTCAAGGTCACAGGGCAAGATAATACCCAAAGAATGTACAATGTGTTTCTCAAAAATGCTATTTTTAAATGTAACATACATCACAATACATGTTGCAAATTAATTAACTGTTCTTTGTTCTGACTTCTGTAAACCTGTTAGCTGCTATGTCATCCTGGATGTATAAAAGTACCCCATTTTCTTTCTCCGGGGCTCAGACTTGGGAGGCTAATCCTCTGAGCTGGTGGCCAACTTAACAAAATCCTCCTGTTTCACCCATTGGACTCTCTGGTCTCCTGGATACTCTGTAACAGGGATTACAGGTATGAACCAACAGTTTTTTTTTTTAAATAATTTTATTAGATAGCTGTGGTGGCTCACGCATATGATCCCATTACTTTGGGAGGCTGAGGTGGAAGGATTGCTTGAGTCCAGGAGTTTTGAGACCAAGCTGGGCAACACAGACCTCCTCCACAATAATTAAAAAAAAAAAATTAGGCTGGTATGGTGGTGGTGCATGCCTGAAGTCCCAGTTACTCAGGGGCTGAGGTGGGAGGATCACCTAGGCCCAGGAGGTCATGGCTATAGTGAGGCAAGATCACACCTGCACTTCGGCCTGGGCAAGACAGCAAGACCCTATCTCAGTAAATAAATCAATAAATGAAATGTTCCAATTCAATAAATGGTGAATGCTTCAGTGTGGCTTTCACAAACGTTTTGCCTAAAAAGTTGTGTATTAGCATTAAATACATTGTATGTCTATTATGTGTGAGGCACTGGAGCTAAAATGAGAAACAGACACAGTTTCTACACTTATGGAGCTTATAGTGTAGTCATTATTCATTGTATGTTCTCAACCTAAAACACACTAGAATGACTTTTGCAGAAAACCATCAGGAAAACACAACATACACAAAGGAGCAATGCAGTATCAACTTTACTGCATGATAAAGAGACCATAGGCCAAAATTGTATTGTATATGGAAATGATGTTTGGACTTTGTTTTTTTTATTTTTTGTTTTTGTTTGTTTACCATTGTAAAAGTAATACATCACCACATATACATTACGAACACACGTGCATTTGAAAAGCCTTAACAATTGGCCTGGATAAATATATAAAGAACTATCAAAAGTCAGCAACAAGAAAACAACTATATAAATGAATAAAATATTTGAACTGACATCCTGAAGACAATAAAAGAATGACAAACAGGCAGGGCGAGGTTGCTCACACTTATAATCCCAGCACTTTGAGAAGCTGAGGCGGGTGGATCACCCGAGGTCAGGAGTTTGAGACCAGCCTGGCCAACATGGTGAAACTCTGTCTCTACTAAAAATACAAAAATAAGCTGGGTGTGGTGGTGCATGTCTAATAGTTCCAGCTACTCAGGAGACTGAGGCAAAAGAATCACTTGAACCCAGGAGGCAGAAGTGGCAGTGAGCTGAGATTGCACCACTGCACTCCAGCCTGGGTGACAGAGTGAGACTGTCTCAAAAAAATAAAAAGAATGGCAAACAAAATACAACAGATTTTTTCATAGTCCATAAGCATGATGAGTGGGATTTCATATTCATGTGTGAGGTGCGCCTCCCTCAAACCTCGTTATGATGTCAACGCATTGCCTATCTGATGTGAGAAGAAATAACAGTGGAAAATCAGTCTACAGAATGGGAGAAAATATTTGCAAATCACACATCCAATAAGGAGTTCAAAATATATAAGGACCTCAATGGCAAGGAAACAATTTAAAAATGGGCAAAGGACCTAAGTAGACATTTCTCAACAGAAGACATATAAATGGCCAAAAGATAAGTGTTGGTGAGGATGTGGAGAAAATGGACCCCTCTCATGCTGTTGGTGGGAATGTATATTAGTGCAGCCATTATGGCAAACAGCATGGAGTTTGCTTGAAAAACTAAAAATGGAACCAACAGTTCATATGATCCAACAATCTCACTTTTGGGTATAAATACACAGGAATTGAAAATCAGTATTTTGAAGAGATATCTGCACTCTCATGTTCATTGCAGCACTATTCACAATAGCCAAGACATGGAATCAAGTGTCCATTGCCAGATGAATGGATAAAGAAAATGTGAATACATATATATATATATATACTTTTTTTTTTGGAAACAGAGTCTTGCTTTGTAGCCCAGGCTGGAGTAAAGTGACGTGATCTTGGCTCACTGCAACCTCTGCCTCTCGTGTTCAAACAATTCTCCTGTCTCAGCCTCCAGAGCAGCTGAGATTATAGGCGCCTGCCATGGCTAATTTTGTATTTTTAGTAGAGATGGGGTTTCATCATGTTGGCCAGGCAGGTCTCAAACTCCTGACCTCAGGTGATCCGCCCACCTTGGCCTCCCAAAGTGCTGGGATTATAGGTGTGAGCCCCTGCATCCCGCCTAAAAAAATTTTTTTTTCAAAGAACAAAACCCCAGACCTGATAATACCAACTGTAGACAAGAATGTGGAGCAACTGGAACAGTCATACATCGCTGGTGAGAATGCAAAATGATACTACTGCTCTGGGGAAACAGGTTAGCAATTTCTCATGAAGTTAAACACATGCTTACCATTTAAATAAGTACTTACTATTTGACCTAGCAGTCTCCTAGGTGATTCTCACACAAAAGAAATGAAACTTAGTTTGCACGAAACCTGTACTCAAATGTATACAGCAGCTTTAAGGCTGGGCTCAGTGGCTCACGCCTGTAATCCAAGCACTTTGGAGGTCAAGGTGGGCAGATCACCTGAGGTCGGGAGTTCAACACCAGCCTGACCAACATGGTGAAACCCCGTCTTAAAAAAAAAAAAAAAAAAAATAGCAGCTTTATAATTGCTAAAAACTGGAAATGGCGTGGCTTACGCCTGTAATCCCAGCACTTTGGGAGGCCAAGGTGGGTTGATCACGAGGTCAGGAGTTTGAGACCAGCCTGGCCAACACGGTGAAATCCTGTCTCTACTAAAAAATAAAACAAAAACAAATTAACTGGGCATGGTGGCACATGTCTGTAATCCTAGCTATTCAGGACGCTGAGGCAGGAGAAGTGTTTGAGCCCAGGAGGCAGAGATGAGCTGAAATTGTGCCACAGCACTCCAGCACTCCAGCCTCGGTGCCAGAGTGAGACTTCCTCTCAGAAAAAAAAAAAAAAAAAAAAAAAACAGAAACAAACCAGTATCTTTCAGTTGGTAAGTAGTGTGGAATACCGTTGGCAATAAAAAGGAATAAGTTGTTATGTACTACGAGTTTGATGAATCTCAAATGCATTACGCTAAGTGAAAAAAAGACTCAAAAGGCTACATATGATATGATTTCGTTATGTGATATTCTGAAAAGGCAAAACTATAGGGACAGAGACAGATCAGTGGTTGCTAGGGATTAAGAGTGGGAGCAGGGTTTGACCATGAAGGAGTTTTGGGGGTGACAAGATTTTTTTTTTTTTTTTTTTTTTGAGACAAAGTCTTGCTTTGTTGCCCAGGCTGGAGAGCAATGGTGCAATCTTGGGTCACTGCAAAAAGTGGAAACAAAGGAAGTAAATATGACAACGTGCTAATTATATGTCATGAGATTATCGGTGTTTGCTTTATTATTGTACTGCTATTTTTTTAATTGGTCAACATAAAAACTACCAAAATATATCCCCCTTAGAGAAAATTTAGAAAAGACAGAAAAGCAGATAGAAAAAAGTCACCGGTTGTCTTTAGACACTGTCGTTTTTATTCTTTTCTACATGTCTTTTTGCATAATGAAAAGTGTACAATAAGAACAATTTACCCTGTGGTTTTACTTAGTATATTCTAAACTTATTTTCTTTTCTTTTCTTTTCTTTTTTTTTTTTTGAGACAGAGTCTTGCTCTGTTACCCAGGCAGAAATGCAGTGGAGCAATCATGGTTCACTGCAGCCTTGACCTTCCTGGGCTCAGGTGATCCTCTAGCCTCAGCCTCTCGAGCAGCTGGGATTTCAGGCGCACCCATGCCCAGCTAATTTTTTTTGTATTTTTTGTAGAAATAGGGTTTTGTCATGTTGCTCAGGCTGGAACTCCTCAGCTCAAGTGATCCACCTACCTTGGCCTCACAAAGTGCTGGGATTACAGGTTTGAGCCACTACGCCTGGCTACCGCTTTGTCTTAAATGATCTTTGAAACATTATTTGCAATCTCAAAGCCTGCATTTATCTCACCAACTGCTGTCATTGGGGATGCAGGCATTTCTGTAATATTAAACTGGTATATTTCACCTCTCTAGCATTGGAGTACAAATTAGGGGATGTTTGCATGAATCCTGTGAATTATAATTGCTCTGAGTCATTGTAATTTGATTAACAGAAGTCCTACTTTGGGGTTTACTTATTTATTTATTTATTTATTTCAGACGGAGTCTTACTCTGTCGCCCAGACTAGAGTGCAATGGCACGATCTCGGCTCACTGCAACCTCCGCCTCCTGGGTTCTAGCAATTCTCCTGCCTCAGCCTCCTGAGTAGCTGGGATTACAGGTGTCTGCCACCATGCCTGTCTAATTTTTGTGTTTTTAGTAGAGATGGGGTTTCACCATTTGGCCAGGCTGGTCTCTAACTCCTGATCTCATGATCAGCCCGTCTTGGCCTCCCAAAGTGCTGGGATTACAGATGTGAGCCACTGCGCCTGGCCTAATTTTTTTGTATTTTTAGTAAAGATGGGTTTCACCATATCAGCCAAGCTGGTTGTGAATTCCTGACCTCAAGGGATCCACTCACCTCAGCCTCCCAAAGTGTGGGATTACAGGTGTGAGCCATCGTGTCTGGACTACTTTGGAATTTTTCTCTACAATGTTTTCACGTTGTTAATGTAGCTGGGGGTCTAACATCACTGCTGGTCACTTAATCCTGCTGGAAGCCACTAGGATATGCCATCTCTGTGTAGTGCACTGTCAAGGAGAGCCATAGCAAAATAACTTGGGTTCATGCTGTCAGTGCTTTTGTGGAGATGTCCACCTCCTGAGGGTCACTCCTATCATCATTTTCTCCTAAGGCATCAGGTGATGAGCCTCTCTAGTCCAGCACTCACTACCCTTTTCACATTCTTTTTTTTTTTTTTTTTTGAGACAGGGACTGGCTCTGTCACCCAGACTGGAGTGCAGTGGCATGATCATGGCACACTGCAGCCTCGACCTCCCAGGCTCAAGTGATCTTCCTGCTTCAACCTCCTGAGTAGCTGGGACTGCAGGTGCATGCCACCATTCCCGGCTAACTCTTTCATTTTTTTGTAGAGACAGGACTTCACTGTGTTGCCCAGGCTGGTCTCAAACTCCTGGACTCAAGTGATTGGCCTGCCTCGGGGTCCCAAAGTGTTAGGATTACAGGCATTTGGCACCTTGGCCTTCACATTCTTATGTACCCTTCTGTTTCCTTAGCTGTGAAATGGAGATAATGACATAGGTTTAATTCATGTGGAATGCTTAGCACAGTGCCTGGTACTTGATGGATTTTTTTCTTTCTACTTGAAATTTATTTTTGAGCCGGGCATGGTGGCTCATGCCTATAATCCTAGCACTTTGGGAGACCAAGGCAGGCAGATCACCTGAGGTCAGGAGTTCAAGACCAGCCTGGCAAACATGGTGAAACCCCGTCTCTACTGAAAGTACAAAAATTACCCAGGAGTGGTGCCACACACCAGCAACCCCAGCTACTCAGGAGGCTGAGGCACAAGAATCGCTTGAACCCGGGAGATGGAGGTTGCAGTGGTCCAAGATCACGCCACTGCACTCCAGCCTGGGCAATAAAGCAAGACTGTTTCAAAAAAACAAAAATTTATTTATTTTTGACTAACATAAAACTCTCTGAATCCTTCTTTTTCTGAGATGGTTCTCCACTTGGGTACATCCCACATCATTGAATATTTAATTACACAGAATTGTGTACCATCTTCCTTGACCCCCAGATCTTTAGCCTTCCATAGTACCCTGTCTCTTTTTGTTGTGCTAGTCATAGTTGCAATTGTATTTCTTTTGTGTAATTGATTACTATATGACCCTTTTATTGAAGTACTGTGAAGGCAGGAAACATGACTGGTTTTTACAGTATTTTCAACACCTAGCACCGTACGTAGTACACCGTAGGGCCTTAATAAATATTTATAAATAAAATTCACGATTGCTTATGTTTGTAGTTTTAATTGCTCTAAAGTAAATACCTCGCCTGGCGCGGTGGCTCATGCCCGTAACCCCAGCACTTTGGGAGGCTGACGCAGGTGGATCATGAGGTCAGGAGATCGAGACCATCCTGGCCAACCTGGTGAAGCCCCGTGTCTACTAAAAAATGAGATAGGCGTGGTGGTGCATGCCTGTAATCCCAGCTACTGGGGAGGCTGAGACAGGAGAATCGTTTGAACTAGGGAGTCAGAGGTTGTAGTGAGCCGAGATAGCGCCACTTTCACTCCAGACTGGCGACAGAGGGAGACTCCGTCTCAAAAAAAAAAAAAAAAGTAAATATCTCATTTTCCAATTTGCACCAGAGTGCTCTGCACGGAGTAGGTCTAATTAGTCTTTCTTCTTTACTAACCACCCATATCTTGTAATAAGAATTCAGTTAGTTGACTTTTTGTAATTTATAAGCATGATGATTGGGTGTTCCTGTGTGTGTGTGTGTGTGTGTGTGTGTGTGCGCGCGCGTGTGATGTGCCACCCACGAACCTTGTTATGAAGTCGGCGCATTGCGCGTCTGACATGAAGAAAAAGAAATAAGAATTCAGTTAGTGGGCCAGGCACAGTGGCTAAGACCTGTAATCCTTGTACTCTGGGAGGCCAAGGCAGGAAGATCACTTGAACCCAGGAGATCAGCCTAGGCAACATAGCGAAACTCCGTCTCAAACAACAAATAAAAATAATTAGCCGGGCATGGTGGTGCGCGCCTGCAGCCTACTCCTTGGGAGGCTGAAGTGAGAGGCTCACTTGAGCGCGGGACGTCAAGGCTGCAGTGAGCCGAGATGTTGTCACTGCACTCCAGCCCGGGCGACAGAGTGAGACCTTGTCTCAAACAAACAAAAACCCAAAACCCAAACCTTAGAGGGGTGAAGAAAAATTTATAGTGCAAATACAATAAATGAGTTGGCCTAGCGTCTGCTTCGTTCAGCTTCCGCCTCCGTTTGAACTGCCCCTGCGGCTGAGGATCCCTTTGCGCACGCGCACAGCCTCTGGCCCGCTATTTCCCCCAAGTGGGTTTCAACCCCTTCCGAGAGCGCGCGAAGACTACAGAGGTCGGTTCGGGAGCGCGCACGTAGCTCCGCCCCGCGACCGGCCCGCGAATCCCGCGGCTTTCGGCCTGGGTGGTCTGGGTCGCCGAGGGAATGCGCCGGAGGGCGGAGAACTGGGAAGAGGCCGAGGTGGGGGCGGAGGAGTCGGGCGCCTAGGAGTCCGGCCCGGAAGAGTCCATCCCGGAGGAGCTGGGCGCCGAGGAGGAGATGGAGGCCGGGCGGCCGCGGCCGGTGCTGCGCTCGGTGAACTCGCGCGAGCCGTCCCAGGTCATCTTCTGCAACCGCAGCCCGCGCGTAGTGCTGCCGCTGTGGCTCAACTTCAACGGCGAGCCGCAGCCCTACCCAACGCTGCCGCCCGGCACGGGCCGCCGCATCCTCAGCTACCGAGGTACGGGCCCGGCGCTTAGGCCCGACCCAGCAGGGACGATAGCTCGGTCTCCTGGAGCCCTTCCTCCCAGGGGTCCATTTTGCAGACGGGGAACTGAGGCTCCAAGAGGTGGGACACATCCAGGGTGACGCTGCTCTCAAGCGTCACAGTATTCTTTATAAGGCTGAATAATTTGCATTTGAAGGTGGCTTCCTCCCACCGCCCCATGTGTATTTTCCCCTAAAAAGCTCAATCCTTAACGCCCCATCTGTTCAGTCCTGATGACCCGCGTGGGCCAGTTCTGCGTAGTCCCTGCCCCCGTGGAGAACACATTCCTCCTGGGGAGACAGGCAGATGCACAAACAGGAGCAAGCCAGGGTCGTGCTGGCGCCGGAAGAGCCGAGCGTGTGTGGCCTGGGAGCTTCACCTACCTTCCTGCTGGGAGATGGAGGGGTTGCGGTTGTGTGGTTTCAGTTAAGGGGCGCTTCCCAGAGAAGGAAGGGAGCAGGATGGAGTAGGAGCTGGCCAACCCAAGGTTAAGAGGCGAGAGTTCTACATATGCATGTGTTGAGACCTGGAGTCTTGGGAGAGGACGCTCAAAAGGTGATTTTACCCCTAGGAATATGGGGCCGTTGAATTTTTTTATCTTTTAAATTTTATTATTATTTTTTAAATTATACTTTAAGTTATGGGGTACACGTGCAGATCGTGCAGGTTTGTTAGGTATACACGTGCCATGGTGGTGGTCTGCTGCATCTATCACCCTGTAATCTACATTAGGTATTTGTCTTAATGCTATCCCTCCCCGAGAATTTTTTTTTTTTTCCGTGATGGAGTCTTTGCCCTGTCGCCCAAACTAGAGTGCGGTGGCGTGATCTCGTCTTCCTGCAACCTCCGCTCCCCGGGGTCGAGTGGTTCTGCCACCTCAGCCTCCCGAGTAGCTGAGATTACAGGCGTGGGCCACCATTCCCAGCTAATTTTTTGTATTTTTAGTGGAGACGAGGTTTCACCATGTTAGCCAGGATGGTCACCGTGTCTTGATCTCGTGACCCGCCTGCTTCGGCCTCTCAAAGTTCTGGGATTACAGGCGTGAGCCACCACGCCCAGCCCGTTTTAAGTTTTTAATCAGGGTTATGATATTGACAGATTTACATACTGAAAAGCTCACCCAGCTTGCAGGTTTGGAGGGGGAAGACTACTGTTGAGGAAGCGGTTAGGTAGTTGTGAAAACCCAGGTGAGGAATAACTAGGCCTTATCTGAGGTGTTGGCGCTAATCTTCCCATGGCCTAAAAGGAGAGAAGTAGTCCTAGTCTCCCTTAATCTTTTTTTTTTTTTTTTTCTTGAGACGGAGTCTCATTCTGTCGCCCAAGCTGGAATGCAGTGGCACGATCTTGGTGGCTCACTACAATCTCTGCCTCCTGGGTTCAAGCAATTCTCCTGCCTCAGCCTCCCGAGTAACTGGAATTACAGGCGTGTGCCACCACACCTGGATAATTTCCTGTATTTTTAGTAGAGATGGGGTTTCAGCGTGTTAGCCAGGATGGTCTGGTCTCCTGACTTTGGGATCCCCCCGCTCAGCCTTCCAAAGTGCTGGGATTACAGGCGTGAGCCACCATGCCCGGCCATCTCACTTAATTTTTATGGAAGCTTTTTGCAAGCATCTGGATAGATCTTTTCTTCCTTGAGGATGTTATACTTAATAAACTTTTACACCAGACTTCCCCTAACGTTAGATGAGGAACACAGTATTTCCAGTGATCAACATTTCTGTAGGCTCCTGTTTTACATAGGAAATTGTATGAATTTTGTATTTTACTGTAAAACTTTTCTGTGCCTGATTTAATATGAAATATGAAAATTTGTTGGCTGGGTGCAGTGGCTCATGCCTGTGATCTCAGCACTTTGGGAGGCCATGCCAGGAGGATTGCTTGAGCCCAGGAGTTGGAGACCAGCCTGTGTAATACAGCTAGACCCTGTCTCTATCTTCTCACCTCTACTGAAAATAAAAAATTAGCTGGGCACCTGTAATCCCAGCTACTTGGGTGACTGAAGCAGGAGAATTGCTTGAACCTAGGAGGTGGAGGTTGCAGTGAGCCAGATTGCGCCATGGCACTCCAGCCTGGGTGACAAGAGTGAGAGTCTGACGCAAAAAACAAAAACAAAAAACCCCCAATTCTTGAAAAATTAGCAGGGCAGATGCCTGCTTATAGTCCCAGCTACTTGGGAAGCTGAGACAAGATCACCTGAGCTCAGGAGTTGGAGGCTACAGTGAGCTTATATGGAGGCTGCAGTGAGCTATGATGGTGCTTCTGAATAGTTTCTGTACTCTGGTAACATAGCAAGACGCTGTCTCTTTTTTTTTTTTTTTTTTGATACAGGGTGTCCTGCTGTTGTCCAGGCTGGAGTGCAGTGGTGTGATCATGGCTCATTACTCCCTTAACCCGGGTTCAAACAGTCCTCCTGGAGCATCAACCTCCCAAAGTATCTGGGACTACAGGCATGCTCCACTATGCCTGGCTAATTTCTTTTTTTATTTTTATTTTATTTAATTAATTTATTTTTTTGAGATGGAGTTTTGCTCTTGTTGCCCAGGCTGGAGTGCGATGGTGCAATCTCAGCTCACCACAATCTCTGCCTCTCAGGTTCAGGCGATTCTCTTGCCTCAGCCTTCCAAGTAGCTGGGATTATAGGCAAGTGCCACCACCCCCAGCTAATTTTTCATATTTTCATATTTTAGTAGAGATGGAGTTTCTCCATTTTGGTCAGGCTGGTCTTGAACTCCCGACCTCAGGTGATCCACTCACCTTGGCCTCCCAAAGTGCTGGGATTACAGGCGTGAGCCACCACACCTGGCCTTTATTTTTATTTTTAGTAGAGATGATGTCTTGCTTATGTTGCCTAGGTTGAGATCCTGAGACTCCATCTCTTTTTTTTTTTTTTTTTTATTTTTTTGTGTGAGACTGATTCTTGCTCTGTCACCCAGGCTGGAATGCAGTGGCATGATCTTGGCTCACTGCAACCTCCGCCTCCCTGGTTCAAGTGATTCTCCTGCCTCAGCCTCCTGAGTAGCTGGGATTACAGGCATGCGCCATCACTCCCAGCTAATTTTTTTGTACATTTAGTAGCGACAGGGTTTCACCATGTTGGTCAGGCTGGTCTTGAACCCCTGACCTCATGATCTGCCCGCCTCGGCCTCCCAAAGTGCTGAGATTATAGGCGTTAGCTACCGCACCTGGCCTGAGCCCTCATCTCTTAAGAAAATGAAATTACTTTTGAAGGTACATAATGCCACTGAATTGTACATTTAAAAATTGTTAAAATGGTAAATTTTTGAGGCAGGTGGATCCACCTGAGGTCAGGAGTTCGAGACCAGCTTGACCAATAAGGTGAAACCCTGTCTTTACTAAAAATACAAAAATTATCTGTGTGTGGTGGTGTGCGCCTGTGATCCCAGCTACTTATGGTCCCAGCTATTCGTGGTCCCAGCTATTCGGGAGGCTGAAACAGGAGAATTGCTTGAACCTGGGAGGTGGAGGTTGTAGTGAACCAAGATCCTGCCACTGCACTCCAGTGTGGGCAACAGAGCAATACTCTGTTTCAAAAAATAAGTAAGTAAATAAATAAATAAAATAAAATGGTAAATTTTGTGTATATTTTATCAAAATTTTTAAAAATTACCAGTTTACATTTTTAAAATTATCACCCCAGGAACAAGTGCTGTATTTATTCTGAGACAACCTTCTCCTACCTTAAACAGAATCTTAGGGCTGGAGGCTTGCTTTCTGCCCTCTTTTGTATGTGATGTATTTCTTTTGAAAATTCGGTTATAATTTACCCCCAGTAAAATGCACAGATCTTAGGGTTTGATGAATTTTCTCTCGACATGTTTTTGCACTTCCTTGTTTTTAAGGAGCACTGATTTGAGGAGTCAGTGGCGTTCTCTCTTTAGTTTGCAGGGTTTGCTGTGATTTGTAATCACATACTTGACCTAGTCATCCCTTTTCCACCATGGTGGCAGAAAGAGCATGGGATATAGAGCTTCAAGTACGTGTTCTTTGCTTACTGTCTCGTACCTTGAGTATGTCAGTTGCCCTCTCAGACCTGTTTTCTCGTCTGTAAATGGATCTGTTGTGAGGACTCACTGAGATGTTACTAGAAGGGCTTTGTATGCCATGTAAGCAGAGTAAGAGGCAAACTTTTTGTGTAGATCAGGGGAAATGGAGAGAATAGGTGCCCTGACAGACCAGTGTGGCTCGTTAACAACCTTTTCTTTTCCTAATAGGTCACCTTTGGCTCTTCAGAGATGCAGGGACACACGATGGGCTACTGGTTAACCAAACTGAATTATTTGTGCCATCTCTTAATGTTGACGGACAGCCTATTTTTGCCAATATCACACTGCCAGGTACTGATTTCAGTCTTACTTTTTAAAAAGATATGGTTTGTTGTAAAAAGTATCAGATAGGCCACTTGAAAAATTAAGCCCAGTCTTTAATTTTTGCCTGATGTCAGGCAAAGTATCCAATCTTTCTGTATCTTATTCTGTACCATAAATAAATGGAAGTGATGTATTTGTATGTTCTGTGTTAAACAAAAATGTTATGGTGTCTCAAAAGCACTTTGGGCTCTTAAGAAACAAGTGAGATGAAGGTGTTACACCATAGGTTAGTTTTGTAGAGTTGTAGAATTATGAATGCCTTTTGTTTCCCTGGCCAAATTGTGACCTGGAGACCCAGGAGAACAATGTGTACAGCCTGAGATATTTTGGCTTATTTCTTGTTGACTTCTAATTTTGTTTTTTTTTTTTTTGAGACTGAGTCTTGCTGTGTCACCCCGGCTGGAGTACAGTGGCACGATCTCAGCTCACTGCAACCTCTGCCTCCTGGGTTCAAGTGATTTTCCTGCCTCAGCTTCCCGAGTAGCTGGGACTACAGGCACGTGCCACCACACCTGGCTAATTTTTTTGTATTTTTAGTAGAGACAGGGTTTCACTATGTTAGCCAGGATGGTCTTCTTCTCCTGACCTCGTGATATGCCTGCCTCGGCCTCCCAAAGTGCTGGGATTATAGGCGTGAGCCACTGCGCATGGCCTATGTGTTTTTATTTAACACAATCAAGCCTACAGTGCCAGTCAGAGTTGGGTTTTTTTTTTTTTTTTTTTTTTTTGAGATAGTCTTGCACTGTTGCCCAGGCTGGAGTGCAGTGGTGTGATTTCGGCTCACTGCAACCTCTGCCTCTCAGGTTCAAGTGGTTATTCTGCCTCAGCCTCCCGAGTACTTGGGGCTATAGGTGCCTGCCACCACACCCAACTAATTTTTGTACTTTTGGTAGAGGTGGGGTTTCACCATGTTAGCCAGGCTGGTCTTGAACTCCTGACCTTAGGTGATCCGCCCACCTTGTCCTCCCTAAGTGCTGGGATTACAGGCCTGAGCCACTGTGCCTGGCCTGCTTTTTTTTTTTTCTCACACTGTCGCCCGGGCTGGAGTGCATTGGTGTGATCTTGGCTCACTGCAACCTCTGCCTCCCGGGTTGAAGCTATTCTCCTGCCTCAGCCTCCGGAGTAGCTGGGATTACAGGTGCCCGCCACCAGGCCTGGCTAATTTTTTGTATTTTTAGTAGAGATGGGGTTTCACTATGTTGGCCAGGCTGGTCTCAAACTTCTGACCTTGTGTTCTGCCTGCCTCGGCCTCCCAAAGTGCTAGGATTACAGGCGTGAGCCACTGGGCCTGGCAATTTTTTTAAAAAAATCGTTGAAGATTGGCATAATACTTTACTATTTGTTTGAAGTTCAAATGATTTTTATCAGGGTAAACCCTAAGAAACTGATGTTCCTGTGGCTTAAAAGAAAAACACTAAAGACTGGCCTGGTGTGATGGCTCATGCTTATAATCATGCCTGTAATTCTAGCACTTAGGGAGGCTGTGGTGGGAGGGTTGCTTGAGACCAGGAGTCCTTGACCAGCCTGGACAACAAAGTGAGACCTGAGCTCTACCAAAAAAAAATTTTTTTTAATTATCTGGGCATCTTAGCATGTGCCTATAGTCGCAACTACTTGAGAGGCTGAGGAGGGAGGATCCCTTGAGCCCAGGAGTTTGAGGCTGCAGTGAGCCATGATCACACCACTGCACTCCAGCCTAGATGACAGAGTGAGACCCTGTCTCAAAAAAAAGAAAAAAAAAAAACAAAAAACACAAATCTCCCAAATACATGGATTTCATAGGATTTAAACTAATGTGTGTGTATAGATTCTGTTTTAGGGAAGTAGATATACAAAAATGGGCATTGATGAATTCAATTTGGTAGATTTTGCATTATAGAATACCCTTAAAGCTACGTTTCCAGTGAGTGTGAGGTAGGGATTGGGATACCCAATTCAGTGGTACTAGATTTTCTAAGTACACGTAGTTTTAGTTATTTGTTCTGTGACTACCACCCCAAAACTAGTAACTACCTCTTTTTTTGAGACAGAGTCTCACTGTTGCCCAGGCTGGAGTGCAGTGGCGTTATCTTGGCTCACTGCAACCTTTGCCTTCTGGGTTCACCTGCTTCAGTAGCTGGGACTACAGGTGCACGCCACCAAGCCTGGCTAATTTTTTGTATTTTAGTGGAGATGGGGTTTCACCATGTTGACCAGGCTGGTCTTGAACTCCTGAGCTCAGGCAGTCCACCTGCCTCGGCCTCCCAAAGTGCTAGGATTATAGGTATGAGCCACCATGCCTGGCCCACCGTTTTATTTGTTCATAATTCTGTAGTCTAGGCTGGGCTCAGCTAGGCAGTTACTCTGCTGGCAGTAGTCGTTGGTGTGGCTGCCTTTTGCTGGGGGCTGGGCCTGTCCCACATTTTTTATTTTATTTTATTTTTTTCCTTTTTTCTTTTTCTTTTTTGAGATGGGGTATCATCCTGTCACCCAGGTTGGAGTGCAGTGGCATGATCTTAGCTCACCACAATCTCTGCCTCTAGGGCTCAAGTGATCCTCCCACCTCAGCCTCCCCAGTTGCTGGGACCACAGGTATGTAACACCATGAGTAGCTAATTTTTTGTATATTTTTTAGAGACGGGGTTTCACCATGTTGCCCAGGCTGGTCTTGAACTCCTGAGCTCAAGTGATCTACCCACGTTGGCCTCCCAAAGTGCTGGGATCACATGCATGAACCACTGTGCCTGGCCAGGGCCTCTCCCTCTTTATGTGGTCTGTCCAGCAGGGTAGCTCAGGATTTCCAAAAGTAGAAAAGCAGAAGTTGACAGGCCTTTTTAAGGCTTAGGCCCAGAATTGCCAGTGTCACTTCACCACATTCAGTTAGTTAAAGCATTCACGAGCCCAGCCAATTCAAGAGGAAATTATTACACAGAAGCATGAACACCATGAGGTTTCCATGGGCCATCAGCATAACACCCTGCCACGTACATGCACTCACTCTTTCTCTTTAACCTAAAGTGAGATGCATCTGTAGTAAAGTAGTTGTTGGTAAAGCCTCTCGCTCATTCCTTGTACTGAGACCCTAGTCTGCCACTGCGGATTTGGTTTTTGTCCTTCCAGTGTATACTCTGAAAGAGCGATGCCTCCAGGTTGTCCGGAGCCTAGTCAAGCCTGAGAATTACAGGAGACTTGACATCGTCAGGTCGCTCTATGAAGATCTGGAAGACCACCCAAATGTGCAGAAAGACCTGGAGCGGCTGACGCAGGAGCACATTGCAAGTCAACGGATGGCAGCGGAGATTTAAAATTTCTGTTGAAACTTACACTCTTTCATCTTAGCTTTTGATGATACTGATGAGTCTTGATCTAGATATAGGACTTGTTCCTTACTCAGTTTCAAAGTGTCTCATTCTCAGAGTAAAATAGGCATCATTGTTTAAAAGAAAGTTAACTGACTTCACTAGGCATTGTGATGTTCAGGGGCAAACATCACAAAATGTAATTTAATGCCTGCCCATTAGAGAAGTATTTATCAGGAGAATGTGGTGGCATTTTTGCCTCCCAGTAAGTCAGGACAGTTTGTGTAAGGAGGTTTGTATAAGTAATTCAGTGGGAATTGCAGCGTATCATTTAAGAAGGCAGTGGCATCTGCTTTTAATGGATGTGTAATACATCCATTTTGCATCCATAATGGTTGGTGACTTGTCCACCTCCTGCTTTGGGAAGACTCAGGCATCCTTGAGGAAGGGACAAGTCTTTCTCCTCTTTGAGACCCCAGTGCCTGCACATCATGAACTTTCAGTCAGGGTTTGTCAGAGGAACAAACCATGGGATGCTTTGGTATAAAGTGCTTGGAGGTTCTACCTCTGTTTTTGTTGGGGGGTGGGAGAGGGGGCCTTAAAATGTGTACAGTAAACAAATGTCTTAAAGGGAATCATTTTTATAGCACTTTTTAAAATTTTCTAAGTTGCCCACTTTTCTTGGTCCAGTCTTGTCGAAGTGCTGTTTTATTTCTGTTTCTAAACTAGGATTAATTTTCTGCAGTTGTGATAATAGCATTTTTGTAACTTGACATCTGCACAGAAAAATAGGAGAAAATCAGGAATCTTCATGTTTGATTCTAGTATTAATGGGCTACTATACTATAAATAAGTTTTTGCTAAATGTGGGTGTTTCTGTTCCTTTTTGTAAATATGTGACATTCCTGATTGATTCGGCATTTTTCATCAGGCAGGACCTGGTGGCACTTCCACTTCCAACCTCTGGCGAGTTACTCGTACCAGTGGATTCATGGAGTAGCCTGAAATGTTTCATAGTTTTCTAAATGTACAAATTCTTATAGGCTAGACTTAAATTTATTAACTAAAATCCAATGTTTCTATCAGACTCAGTTTTTTATAACTAATAGCTTTTTTTGTTTTTCAATTTTTATTCTCGTCCCCTAACAGCTTTTTTTTCTTTTTTTTTTTTTTTTGAGACAGAGTCTCACTCTTGTTTCCCAGGCTGGAGTGCAATGGCGCGATCTCGGCTCACCACAGCCTCCGCCTCCTGGGTTCAGGCAATTCTCCTGCCTCAGCCTCCTGAGTAGCTGGGATTACAGGCACGCGCCACCATGCCCAGCTAATGTTTTGTATTTTTAGTAGAGACGGGGTTTCACCATGTTGACCAGGATGGTCTCGATCTCTTGACCTCGTGATCCACCCGCCTCGGCCTCCCAAAGTGCTGGGATTACAGGCGTGAGCCACCGCGTCCGCTGTACTTTTTTTTCTTTTCTTTTTTTTTTTTTTGCTGCTGGCATCAAGATGATCTTGTTGCATTTTTCTTTTAATTTTTTTTCTTCTAATTTTTGTACTTTTAGTAGAGATGGGATTTTGCCATGTTGGCCAGGCCAGGCTGGTCTCAAATCCCCTATAGCTTTTTTTTTGAGACGGAGTCTCGCTCTGTCACCAGGCTAGAGTGCAGTGGTGCAGTCTCGGCTCACTGCAACCTCTGCTTCCCGGGTTCAAGCGATTCTCCTGCCTCAGCCTCTTGAGTAGCTTTTTCAAAAATCTCCCCAGTAGAGAAAAATTTGGAAAAGACAGAAAACTAAAAAGGAAGAAAAAAGATCCCTACTAGGTACACTTCTTAAATACAGCCACAGTTAACATTTTGAACTATTTTCTGTCAGCCTTTTTTAGGACATATTTTGGTTGGTGGTTTTTTTACATAGTTGAGATTGTATTGTTATACAGTTTTATACCCTACTTTTTCATTTAACTTTGTAACAAATTTTTCTTCATGTTATTATAAGCTTTTCATAAACATTAGTATAGTCTTTTATAATTAATGTTTGTGGCTATTTCTTGGCATCGTTAATTTCTTATCCTAGCCTTTGGGCACAATTCCTGTGCTCACAAACTAGAGTGACGGCTGGCATAATGGCTCACGCCTGTAATCCCAGTACTTTGGGAGGCCAGTGTAGGAGGATTGCTTGAGCCCAGAACTTCAAGATGAGCCTGGGCTCATGGTGAGACCCCATCTATACAAAAAATTTTTTTAATTAGCTGAGCATGGTGGCACACGTCTGTAATCCTAGCTACTTGGCAGGCTGAGATGGAAAATCGTTTGAGTTCGGGAATTTGAGGTTACAGTGAGCCAGGAGTATGCCACTGCATTCCAGCCTGGGGGACAGAGCAAGACCCTGCCTCAAAAAAAAAAAAAAAAAAATCAGGCCAGGCATGGTGGCCCACACCTGTAATCATAGCACTTTAGGGGCTGAGGCAGGCAGATCACCTGAGGTCAGGAGTTCGAGACCAGACTGGCCTGGCCAACATGGTGAAAGCCCGTCTCTACTAAAAATACAAAAATTAGCCAGGTGTGGTGGTGGGCACTGTAATCCCAGCTACTTGGGGGGCTGAGGCAGGAGAATCGCTTGAACCCATGAGTCGGAGGTTGCAGTGAGCTGAGATCGCACCATTGCACTCCAGCCTGGGTGACAGAGCAAGACTCCATCTCAAAA